AGACTGCAGGAGCTCCTAGGAGTTCACTGGGGGCTCATCAGCATCCGGGGAAATCTCATGTCTGAAGTTCCCAAGGTGCCTGAAGAACGTCGGGTTGGGGCAGGGAGGCAGCCTGGAGCCCAGGCTGGATTCCTGGGTGCAGAGTTTTTTAACAACCCCCCCCTGCTCACCTCACCTACGGCCTCGCTGTCTTTATAGTGCGGGGGCTTCCCCAGGGCACTTAACTAGAAAATGTAGGGTTCACAGGTTTGTGAAGGAAATGGCATTCTTTGACCAAAGTTAGAGCTTAGAAACGTATAAGGTCCCGTAGATCAGAGGACAGGATGGTGGACTGGGGCCAGAGAGCTTGCCTCTCAGTCTTTCTCAAGTGTGATGCTGCCGATTAGCTGGCCATGAGCAAGCCCTGCTCCCCATCTCTGAAATGCCCCCATTTGTGAAAAACTGGGTGGACCAGCCCAGGTCTTCTCTCTAAGCTCGTGAAACTTATCATGGAAAAATCCTTAAGTGCACACCCAAGCTGGAGAGAGATTTTCATTTTACTTTGGAAAAAAAATATTAAAAATACAAAAGAATGAAATATTGGCAAAGACTTATGTGGTCTTCACCCTGAATTGGAAGATGTTAATGTTTTGTCATATTTTAATCAAATCTCTGGATAATTCGAAAGGATATTTTCCAGGTAGAGTTCGAATACTTTTTGATTCTCACATTTTGATTGCTATAGCTTTTACCCTTCCCTGAGGAACCACAATAATGAATTTGGTGTCTCCTTCTACTACATTCTTTTGTATGTTTTTCCTGCTTGCAGTTCATTGAGCTTCATGGATCTATATGTTTTTATATATGTGTATGTGTGTGTGTGTGTGTGTGTATGTATTTTTTAAATCTAATCTGGACATTTAAAGCCATGATTTATTCAAAATTTTTTCTTCCTTAATCTCCCTACCATCTCCTTTCATTACAACAGACACCGACATGTTAGATCACTTGATAGTATCTCTGAGTTTTTGTGGGTTTTTTTTTGCTTTTAGCCATTTTTCTTTCCACTTAGTATTTTCTATTACCCTGTGCTTAAGTTTGCTGATCTTTTCTTCTGTAGTATCTTATCAGATGTTAGTCCATCTATTGATTCTTCATTTCATATATGTATTTTTTAGTTCCACAGTCACCATTTGAATCTTTTTCATAGTTTCCTTTATTGAGATTCTTTGTTCCTTCATTAAACTTATATTTTCCTTGAAATCTTTGAATATATTTGTCATGGTGGTCTTTGATGGCCAGTTCCATTATATATATCGATTTGAGTCTTTTATTAATTGATTTTTATACTGATTATGGACCACATTTTTCGTCTTCTTTATCTAATAGTTTTTTTTGTTGTGTGCTGGACAATATGTATTCTCTGTTGTCAAGTGCATGTTCCACTAATTAGTTGGGGATCAGCTTAATCTTTTCAAAGCTTGTTGAAAGTTTTGTTGGGATGAGTCTAAGGTAGCTCTTACTGTAGACTTAAATTTGGCCTATTTCTATGGCCTGCTTTTCTGGAATTTCTACAAATGCTTAGGTGTTCAATAAAATCTACTTTGGGTATTGGAACTCATACATCCCCCTATCCAGCCCTGTGTTATCGATGGTAGTTGTTCAAGTTCACAACTCCCCAGAAGTTCCCTCCCCCCTGAAAGTAAGGTTTTTTCCTTGCTTCCTGGAGTCTACTCTATATGTGTGAAGTTTAGGACTCAGCCGAAGTCCTTGGTAATCCTTCTCTGCCCAGCTTCCTTTCCTCTGGTACTCCCTGAAGGAGGGAGACTTAAGTCCTGAAGTATAGTTTTTACTTCCACAGTCCAGAAGGTATCTCTACATATAAAGTCAGGGTGATGGGAGGGCTCAAATCATTTGATTCTCTACTCTCAGAGATAATGGTGATTTTTTTTTTTTTTTTTTTGGTACTGGGATTGAACCCAGGGGTGCTTTACCACAGAACCACATCCCCATCCCTTATTGTTTTTTTAAGACAGGCCCTCACTAAGTTGCTGAAGCTGGCCTCAAACTCTGGTCCTCTTGCCTCAGCCTCCCAAGTCTCTGGGATTACAGGTGTGCCCCACTGTGCCCAGCTAAATTTCCTATCTTATCTAGTTTTATATTTGTTTCTAGCAGGAAGGATAATCTACTACTAATTACTTAAGCATGGCCAGAAATGGAATTCCCATTCTCTTACATGATTATGCTCATATTTTTACACATTCCAAAAGCAATATGTAGTCATAATATTTTCCATGAATTCCAAATTTTCACTTGAAAATTTCATATTATTCCACATCTTCATTCCACACTGGCCAGGGTTAAAGGTCTACCCACGTTCCTGTATTCCTCCATCCCTCAGATGAGTGTTTCTGGGTGTTAAGTGCAAAGCATTGTCCTTGGCACTGGGTGTGCAGTTGCACAAGAAAGAAAAAGTCCCTCTCTGTGGAGCCTGGAGTCTAGTGGGGGAGGCGGATAATGAGTGCACAGCGACATCCAACAGCAGAGTGTAGGGAGGGGAAGTGAAGCAGGGGATGGAGATGGGTGGGACTGGGGAGTGACCGGGTCTCAGAAGAGGTGAGGTCTGAGCACATCTGCCCTCAGGGAGGGTGTGAGCCAGGCAGAAGTCCAGGAAGGGGGACCCAGTGCAGTGAAGGATCACCTGAGGGCCTTAGGTAGGGGCGGGACATGATCTCATTTAGGTCTTAGAAAGTTCTCTCTGGTTACTATAGAGAAGGGAGGTTGGGAGGCTGCAGGAGGCCACTGCAGTAATGCAAGCAGCAGATTACAGGGAACAATTGGCTTGGGCCAGGGATGTCCTATTTGGATCACAGTTGAAAGGCAGAGCCAGCAGAACCCTGTTGGGTGGGAGAAGAGTCAAGAACGATGCTCTACGTTTTTGGCCTAAGGAAGTAGACAAATGAAATGTCATAAACTAAAATGGGGACAGTTTGGTTAAGAATGACTAACTCTGCTTTAGATGTGCTAACTGTGAAGCTGTCACGCAACTAAGGAAGATAATCTGCCAGCCGTTGGCTGGTGAGTCTGGAGTTCAGGTGGGAGATGGGACTGGAGGTGGAATTCAAGCATCATCCAGGTAGAGATGGTTTTTCAAGCCGTGGTGCCTGGTGAGACTTAAAAACAAAAAGAGAGGTGGGCAGAGTCCAGGCCCTGGGAATTCCAGTACTTAAATATAAGGTCTTCCTTTCAAGGATCCTGCAAGAGAGACTGACACGAGGAGAACTAGGAGATTGTGGCACCCAGAGCCAGGAAAGGAGGGATCTACTGTTGAGGATGCTCAGTTCTTTCTTTTTGACTCCTGTATGGCATTCCATCACATGAATAATGAAGAGACATTTTTTCTACCGCCCAGATTTATGGCAATGGATATTTGTAGTGAACATTCTTGAACATGGTACCAACTTGAGCACATGTGGACAAGTTTCTCTTTGGACACTGGGAAGAGATGGAATCACTAGATGATTAAGATACAACTTAAGGGGCTGGGGCTGTAGCTCAGTGGTAAAATGCTTGCCTCACATATGTGAGGCACTGGGTTTGATCCTCAGCACCACATAAAAATAAATAAAGATACTATGTGTTCATCTACAACTAAATAAATATTTGAAAAAAAATTTTTAAAGATACAACTTAACTTGCCCAGACAATGCCAATTGCTTCCCCAAATGAAGCTACTGGTGTCCATTCCTAACTTTAGGGTTCAAGAGACCCTGCTGCTTCACACCATCCCCAGCACTGGATATTAGAGATTTTGAAGATTCTTGCTAATCTCAGAAGTGAAAATATGCGTAACTGTTGCTTCCTTTCACATTTTCCTAAGTACTAGTGAGGTTGAGCCTCACTGGGCCATTTGCATTTTCTCTTACCTGATCTGCCTGTTAATATCACTGCCCAGTCCTCTTCTTTTTGATTTATAAGATTTCTTCCTATATTCTGAATTCTAAATCTTCGAGTGTTAAGTATATTGCAAATATTTACCCTCGGTCTGTGGAAGTCTTAATTTTGCAGGGATGTGTATTTGTGTGTACACGCGTGCATGTCATATGAAAGCTTTTGGTTTGGATGCAGTTGCATCTATTTTACATTTTGTGTGTTATGTATACAATCTTTTCCTATCCTGAGGCCATGAAGATACCTGCTTGTATTTGTCCTGATACCTTAAGTTTTGTTTGAACATATGCATGTTAATGTTAAGGCATCTGAAATTTATTCTGTGTGTGGCATGAGGTAGGGACTGGATTTTTCCCCCCCCTAATGGTGAAATCAGATGTCCTAACTTCTCTAATTTGTTCCTACTGGTGTGGATTGCTAACACCTTACCTCCAAGTTCCCACAGGGACATGGGTCTCTTTGGACTCTCTTTCCCTGTTCTACTTGTCATATCACCTATTCTTGTACTCATACCTATGAGTGATATTACTTAGTAAAAATGTTGATCTCTGGTAGGATAAGATGGGTTAAGTAAAGGGATGGAATACCTGCTTTTCTTTGAAGTTCTCCCTCTTTAAACAACTGTCAGTGTAGTTAAAACAGCACTGGATGAAGTCCCTGTCCAGGATGGATCTGTGGCATGAAGGGCGAGTATACCCCCGACTTCTCTGTGAGACTCTGGGTGTTTTACGGGTTGCCCTCTCCTCCCCACACCCTGTGCTCACCTCCTGTGAGGTCTGAACTACAGGGCGGCTCTTCCGGGCCTGGGGCTGCTGTGGGTATTTTGTGACTGGGCCATAGTACCGATTCCGCTGGTTCCTGCCGGCCTGACCGCAGGGACAGGTCTGGCGGGGTCTGGGGTTTCCTGTTGCCTCACCCTCACCAACACTGAGCCCCTGGATTCTAAAAATAAAAGCACCAGAAACCACTGAGACCTCGTGTAGCTGTGCTCAGGGTGCTCTGAGCGCTTGGGCCACCTGGGCCTGCTCCCCTCAGCCCTGCCTGAGCTCTGCCTTTGTCCCACCCTCCAGGTCGTTCCCCGCAGGGCCACACGCAGGACTCCTGCCGAGAGGATGAGCAAGTTCCTGAGGCATTTCACCGTGGTCGGGGATGACTACCACACCTGGAACATCAACTACAAGAAATGGGAGAACGAGGAGGAGGATGAGGAGGAGGAGCCGCCGCCCGTGCCAGTCTCAGGCGAGGAGGGTGGCGCGGGGGATGCCGAGGCTGCACCCAGGTCGGCGCCCAAGCCTGCCCGCGACTTCAGGAGCATATTGAGGAAGCTCTTCAGCTCCCACAGATTTCAGGTAGGAGGGGCAAAGGCCCAGAGGCCCCAGGTGGGGAAGGGCCTCCTGTGGAAGTCACCAGGCCTGCAGGGAGGGACCCACCTCTGCGACTCCACTGCTCCTTCACAGATGCCCACCACGTGCCAGGAGCCCCAGGCTCACTGGGGTGCCATGGGCCCATCCCATGTTGTCAGGGAGGAAATAATCCTCATCAGCAGCAGGTGAATGGATAAACAAAATGTGGTCTACCCTCTATCTGAACTACAGGCCGCAGTTGAGCCCTGGGCAGGAATGAGGCTCTAACTCATGACACAAGGACCATCCTTAAGGCCAGTGCTCCGGGCCACGAGGTGTACAAAGCCATTGATAGGAAGCATCCAAAACAGGCAGATCCAGGTAGACAGAAAGCAAGTTGGTAGTGCTCAGGTGAGGGGGCAGGAGAGGGGAGTGGCTGCTGGGTAACAGGGGCAATGATGATATCAGGAGCTAGTGAGTGGCCAGCTGCACCTTTGGGACATACCTAACTCTGCCAAGCTGCTCCAATTTAAAAATGATCACTATAGCAATTTTTATACACACACACACACACACACACACACACACACACACACACACACACACAGGAGTAAGACTGTAATCATTGGGGGCAGAAAAAAAATTCATCTGTGAATTCAGCAAACAGGCTGCCTGATCTTGAGCAAGGCCGAAAGGGGACCCTGCCTCCTGGGGCTCGAGAACATCACCCTCAGCCTCTTCTTGTGAAGTGAGGCCAAGAGTGTCTGCCAGGCTTGAAACCATGGCTGCCCTCCCGATGGGACCATGTAGAGACAGGGAGGCCTGGGCCTCAACGAAGAGCAGCGGGAACTGAGCTTTGTGGGGTCACAAGGACATTTTGATTTTGAAGGTCAAATGCAGGTTGAGTCTACTCAGCCCCAGAAACCCCACCCTCTGCTCTGAGGGGGGCAGGCTGGTATCTGGAAGCACATTCTGGGTCCTGGGAGAATGTGGGGTTCAGAGACGTCAAGGGAGTTCACAGCTCCTTGAAGGTCCAGGTCCCAAGGGAAGCATTTTAGGGACACTGTCACAGACATCCTCCCTGGACCCTATCCCTCTGGAAGCAGAGAGGCAGGCAGCCCTGGCCTCTGCCATCACCCACCTGTTTTAGAGTAAAACAGAAACAAACGGCTTGGTCTTTATCTGATCCATTCTTGGGTGGCTCACAGAAGGGAAGCCACCCAGCGCCTGCTGCTCCTCAGCTCTGCTCTGTGGCTGTGACGGGAACAGAAACATGGTATTAACTTGTTGGGGTTGAAGTTCCAAACCCTCAATTTCAGGAGCTGAAGGAAGAAGCCAGCTTCCTTCCAGCTGCAAGGGGAGCCCTGGAGCCCTGGACCACCCCCTCAGGATGTTCCCTGCCTCCTAAATGGACCACTGGTCCACTCAGCCTGCTGGGGATCAGGACTAACACCCGGAGCCAGGACCTCCACAGACACTATTGGGGAAAAGCCAACTGATAACTGTCACAAAATAAGTCAAGATGTTTATTCAGTCATGTGACAGTTATTTAAAGAGCATCTACTGAATACAGCAGTGAACTTATCCCTGCCCTCCCTGAAGAGGACCTGAGAGTCTGCAGATAGACAAGAATCACAGGGATAATAAGCCCAGGTAGAAGACCCCTGACAGGGGACAGAAGGGTCTCTGAGAAATCTTGGGAGGCCCAGGGCCTGATGGAGGACTGGAAATCAAAGGAGGTAACATGTCCCCCAACACTGGAGGGCTGAGCAGGAATGAGCCCTGTGGATGCAAGGGGGACGCTTTCCAAGTACAAGGGCCGTTTTTGCCAAGGGCACAAGCAGGGAAAGAGCCAAGTGCCTTGGAGGGGTTACCAGGAGGCTCACGTGGTGAGTAGCGACCCTGCAGCAGCAGGAGGGGCGTGGCAGGCAGAGGGTTCTCTACAGGGTTGGGGTGCAAACTCATCAGATGGGGAGAGGGGCTGTGGTGGGACAGGGTAGCCAGATGGAGTAGGGAACAGGAAATCAGGGGTGTTGCTCTCTGATGGTAGCATGCAAGAAGGTCCTGGAATCCCTTTCTTGGGTGGTTTGAGGTGGCTAAGGTGAGATGACAGCTACTGCTGTCCCTTCTCTCATGGGGTAGCTCACCTAGGAGAGAAGGTGGGTGGACCATGTCTCTGTGGAAGCCACCATGGGCGGTGCCCGGAGTGGGGAGCGTTGCTCTTACTCCTGCCTGTGGGCGGGAGAACTCTGCCCTGCACTCTCCTCTGTCTCACGCCATACTCCCCGGTCACCTGGGGGCAGAAGAGGTGGCCAACTCCACTTTCTCAGATTTGAAGCACCAGCTCATGGAGGCTCTGCAGCACTGGAAGGTGCTGGTGTGGGGACCTGGGACAGCCACAGGCCTAGCCTGGCCTGGCCCTGCAGGGAAGGGTTGAGGATTAAGGGCTTCTCCAGATTCTCTGCATTTTTCTCTGTGACGTGGCTTCTTCCAGACAGTGCTGCCTGGTGAGCCGCAGATTAAGGGTTCACAGGAGCCAGGATTGGGGTCCAGGCATTATGGTTTTTCTTGGTCTTGAATTTTTCTCTCACTTTTGTTTCTGCTTTTTATAAACTCAGGTGAGATTCATATGAAATCAATCATTTTGAAGTAATTCTGTGGTGTTTTTAGTACAGTCAGTGTTATGTAGCCCACCACTCTCTAGTTCCAGAATGTTCTTATCAACCCTCCAAAGAGACCCTGTTCTTATTGAGCCATCACTTCCCAGTCTCCCTAAGGCCTTCTGTCTGCGCTGTCCCTCTGGACGAGCCTGTCTGGACACTGTGTGGAAGGAGGCATGCCATGCGTGGTCTCCCGTGTCTGGCCCCTTCACATGGCATGATATAACACGTGCGGCCCTTCATTTTAGGGCTGAATACTGGATCTTAGGTCTAAATATCTGTGCCTGGCTTTTTTTTTTTTTTTTTAAGACTATAAGAACTCTCAGATCCCGTTGGTTCTAAAATAAAACCAAAGATTTAAAAAAAAAAAAAAGAAAGAAAGAAAAAGAAAACACCCGAGGCTTGAATCTACTAAGCTGCTGAATTTGGATGTGTGTGGAAACTTCCTTGCAGAGCCATTTGCCACATCATCAAGACATCATCAGACACTTTACTGCAACAACTAACTACAGGTGGAAATGGCCAAAAAGTTAAACAGTCCCTTCTTCATAGGCCCCAACTTGTTGAATTTCAATGTGAAACTGTCAGTTTATAGCAGATTACGTTTTAGAGGTCAAAATCAACGGATCTAACAGCGTGAGAGGCAAGGCCTGAGTTCTGGAATTTCTGAGGAAAGAGGGGTATCACACGGGGTCCCTTGGGGCTCCCCCACTGCTGCCATTTCCATAGCCACCATGGACTGTCAGAACCCTGTCAATGTACTCCTGCCATTAGTGGCCTCACCAGCAGCATCCCCACTGCCATCAATGAGACAACCCCTCGCTCTGGCACCCACTGACCCTCTGTAGCAAGTCACAGAGCCCCACTCTGCCACTCAGCTCTTCCCAATTGTCCAGGAAACCCAGGCCTGCTCTCCGTCCCCGACAAGCAAGAGTTGGTTTCTGTGTACAGTGGCATCACTGTCACCTGAAGAGTCAGCAGCCCCTGGAGTCCCCCCTTCCAGATCCCAGAGTCTTGAGGCGGGATGTGTCAGATGACTTATTCAGTATATGTTCTGTGCACCCTGTGGTGACAGCAATCCCCAGAAATAGAAAAATGTAACTTTTAAAAAACGTTTGCCATCTGGGAAGTGGAACTTGGTCTGAGCCAGCGCAGGGAAAAGGTGAAGGAGCAAGGAAGAGCCTGGTGTTGTCGAGGGGCAGTGAGTCAGCGGCAGAGAGGGGTTGGGGAGAGAGGTGGTGGGCAGGTGGCAGCTTGTGACTGTGGGGACCTGCCCCTGCTGGCTCCCTCCAGGAAGGTATTGGCAGTGGCTCTCCCTCCTCGGCACCTGTACCTGGTGGTCTCACTGTTTCCAGGCAGCTCCTAAGGGCGGGAGGAGGGCCCTGTTTCAGGCTCACACTTTCTGTCCCCCCACTCCCCGCAGGTTGTCATCATCTGCCTGGTCATTCTGGACGCTCTCCTGGTGCTCGCTGAGCTCATTCTGGACCTGAAGATCATCCAGCCTGACAAGAACCACTATGCGCCCAAGGTAGCTTGTCCCCGCTCTCTGGGGTGCTCCTGATGTGGGTCACTTCTGTTATCTGCACTGGGGGCAGAGGGGGCGGCTACCACCCCGCTTGGAGCCACAGGGCTTGCTGGGAAGTAGTTTAGGTGTTTTAGTCAATGGCTGGAGAAGAGGCCTACCTTTCCAAATTTGAGAGAGAAGCATTTAGTATGAGGATGAAGCTCATTTCACTGAATCTCGCCAGAGCCAGTCACTGGTTGCAGGCCTATGTAATCAGGGACATGAGGCACATACGTTCCTCTCCCAGGGGCAGGAGTGTCGTTTTCCTCCTGTCTTCTGTTGGTGTTTTCCTGGTCCCTTCAGTGACATCCACTAGAGGCTGAGCCCGACCCAGATGTTCACCCAACAGGCAGTGGAAACACAGGAGGAAATCCAAGCCTCAGAGGCATCTCCCCATGTGCTTTGTGGGGGAAAAATGGAATCCCTATTAAATACCTATCTTTATAAATAGTAAAAGGGCAGAGGCAACCCCATTCTGTTGTCACCTATGCCGGCCTGGTCTGCAAGGAAGGAGGAGTACCTTTTTTTTTTTTTAATATTTATTTTTTGGTTTTAGGTGGAACAATATCTTTATTTTTAAAAAAATTTAAATATTTTTTAGTTTTAGGTGGATACAATATCTTCATTTTATTTTTATGTGGTGCTGAGGATCAAACTCAGTGCCTCACACGTGCTAAGCGAGCACTCTACCATTTGAGCCACAACCCTAGCCCCCACAATATCTTTTACTTTTATGTGGTGCTTAGGATCGAACCCAGTGCCTCACGCATGCCAGACGAGCACACTACCACTGAGCCACATCCCCAGCCCGAGGAGTACCTTCTCTCGCCCACTTTCTGGCTTTTGTTTTTGGATTTTTTTGATTTTGTTTGTTTTTGTGCCAGGGATTGAAGTCAGGGGCATTGGACCACTGAGCCACATCCCAGCCTTTTAAAAAATATTTTATTTAGAGATAGAGTTTCTCTGAGTTGCCTAGCACCTCGCTTTTGCTGAGGCTGTCTTTGAACTGGAGATTCTCCTGCCTCAGCCTCCCAAGCTGATGGGATCACAAGCGTGCATCACCTTGCCCAGTTCTCCTACTTTCTTAATACAATCAATAACATATCTGCCATACTGTCTTTTCCCAAAACTTTTTAATTATGAAAAATGGCCAATATGCAATTTCCTTCATCAGTATACATCCACACGGGCACAGGTATTTCTGCCTGGCCATTTGAAAATAAGTCACAGATGTAGCGACACTTCCCCCTTGAACACTTCAGCAGTGTAGGAATAAGGTCTTTCACCTGCAGAACCGTCAGACCCGATTCAGTGGTCAGCAGATATATCATTACCACTTTGAATCTCCTCGCTTGTCCCAAGATGTCCTCTGTAACATAGAGCCAGCGCTCGGCCTTTTCCCCTCTTCATGATACCAAGTTTTTGAACTGTCCAGTCAGTTGTCCTGTAGGCTGTCAGAGGTTCTAGGTTAGTCTGGATAAATCTGGACAAAGAGACCCATTAGTTGGTTCCCTAGAAACAGAGGCTCCATCAGCAAGTGTTCTCGTGGGACATGTTCTTTATATGGCGCCTTCAGGAGTGCCACATAAAGTTGGGTCTCCCACTCAGCGATACTCAGCTACATCTTTCAATTTAGGCAGCAAATGCTGTACCATACTACTGTCCAGGGACATGTGTCCCTTTGCAGTTATAAATAGCCTGCCTAGTGATACTTTGGTACGACACAAATGTCCCCTTCCCTAGAGGCATGATCCTTGCCCGAGCAGTGAACACTGAGGGGTACAGAATGTGATTTTCTGGTTCCTTCTCTCCCCCACCCTTAGTAATGGCCACCCTTCCATAACCAGATGCTGTCTTTGAAGCCTGTGTGCCTGCCCCGCCGTGGACCTGAGATTTTAATTTTTTATTCGGTGTATTAGTCAATCTCAGTCAGCCTTTCTGATGTTCAAATTGTCCCAAATTTGGCCGCTGTGAGCCTCTTCAGGCTGACTACTATGTCTTTTTGACATGACGCCCTTAAGCCTGTGCATGTCCTTCCTGGCACACGGAGCCCAGCTCACTTACTATGTCCTCTGCTCCAGAGCCAGAGGTTGTTTCCCTAGTGAGGTGTTCATAACTGAGATCTGGGGACCCTCTTCACTTGCTCCCACCATGGTGGTCTTTCCAGGTGGGTACATGTGGGTTGCTCTGCCCAGGCCCTAACAGTGGAGCAGGATGTCTATGGAGTGCCATGAGAACTTGCTGGGTGGTTCCAATGACGCTGACATTGTTCACAGACAAGGCAAAAATCGCAGGTTCTGCGAACCACTGCTGTAAACACCCCATGACATGTCTTGAGCACGTACAAGCTTTGCCCTGGGGTGTGTTCCTAGCGGTGGGGCTGCCAGGCTGCAGGGGTCGGGGGGGGGGGAGTGGACTCTGAATTCTGGCATTGCCCACCTGCCATGCCAATGACCCTCAGCACAGCACCTGAGCTGGGAGTTCGGTATTTGTCAGCCCAGTGAATTCTCCCTCTGGTAACTAGCAGGGGTACTCAAGGTCAGTCTCTGTGACCTGCCCTGTGGCCAGTGGCACCATCTCCTGACTGTGGCTCTTCCTCCCCTCCAGGTGTTCCACTACATGAGCATTGCCATCTTGGCCTTCTTTATGATGGAGATTTTCTTTAAAATCTTCGTCTTCCGCCTGGAATTCTTTCACCACAAGTTTGAGATCCTGGATGCTGTCGTGGTGGTGGTCTCCTTCATCCTCGACATAGTCCTCCTGTTCCGGGAGCATGAGTTTGAGGCTCTGGGCCTGTTGATCCTGCTCCGGCTATGGCGGGTGGCCCGGATCATCAATGGTAGGTACCCAGCACTCTTGGGTTGCAGAGGGCACAGGACAGAGGGTGCCAAGGCCAGCTGTTTAGTCACCCCAGGAGCCTGAGCTCACATACACAGTCTCCATCACAGTCACTGCCTCCTCCCAGAAGTCCAGAAAAGCATGGGGCAGGATGCGACTTAGCCACTGACTGCCACCTCAGAGGCCAGAGTGAGACCAGAACACCTGCTCTGGAAACCACCTCTCTCCTTCGGGCTGTTTTCATGATTATCAAAAGATATTGGGATTACAACTCAGTTGGCAGAGTGCTTGCCTCGCATGCACAAGGCCTTGGGTCCAATCCCCAGCACCACACACAAAAAAAAGGTTCATGGATATCCATGGAACCGGGCATGATGGCACACACCTGTAATCCCAGCAGCTCAGGAGCCTGAGGCAGGAGGAACATGAGTTCAAAGCCAGCCTCAGCAAAAGTGAGGTGTTAAGCAACTCAGTGAGACCCTGTCTCTAAATAAAATACAAACTAGGGCTGGGGATGTGGCTCAGTGGCCCCCAAGTTCAACGGTACCACCCCAAAAGATTGATTCATGGAAAGGGTTAGGCTAAGGCCCAGGGAATCTCTCCAGGCTTTTCCCAGGGCATCTTGGTTCTAAACTGGGTGTCTCCTAAGAGGAGCCTACCCCAGCCAGGCCACCCAGGAGGCACCATCCAGCAGGGATGCAGGAATTGAGCTCTGAGGAGGGCACAGCATGTGGTAGCCTCTGAGTGGTGTTGATAACCCACCAGAGACCCAGAGACGGCTCTGGGAGCTCAAGGAGCCGCTCTGTGCCTGTCTCGAGAAGAGCCCTCTCCCCACACACCCCGTGCACAGGCGCTCCAGGCCAAGGGATTTTATGTGGAGAGTGACCACAGCTGGCCGGTTGCTTAATGGCCTGCTTGTGTACCTGCCACAGTGGTCACCTTCAGACCTTTTTAAAACAGTCTGCAGCAGAAGGCCTGATAAGCTTGGGCGTAGGTCTACCTCGGAAGCCCTCCAGGTGTCCAGCCAGGGTTTGGAAATCCCTGAACGGATGTGCCGTGGTTCAGGCGCTGAGGGAGGGACAGGCCCTCTGCGTGGAGCCACTTCCCTTGGTGGCCTGGTGAGTCCTGTATGGCCACAGCCCCCTGAGCTCCAGCAGGACCTGCAGGGAAACTGGCTGCAGCAGATGTGGGCGGGGTGGGAGCGACTGGTCACCAGCAAGTGTAGATTTAGCATTGAGAGCAAATCCCGGGAAGGACAGAGCCTGGATTCTGTCCAGGGGCAGAGTGGAGGCTCGGTCATCACTGCTTCTGCTGAGGGTTGACCATTAGTGTGGCCAGCCTGGGGCTCCTATGGCATGTTGGCACCCACTGCCATGGACCAGGGCCACTGTCCTGGACAGGTTCAAGGAGCTTCATGGTTATGGCTATTTTAAAAGAGCTCTCAGCCACATGAGCCGAGGAGACACCACACACCCGGAGGCTCCCAAGGGAACACCCGGCCCTCCTAGTTCGGAGGCCACTCTGTGATGACTGCCACTGTCATTCTTCCCAACTCTATACACGTAGAAATCACTTCCCCACCCCCCAGTGGTTAAATTAGAATCCCGTGACTCCCCATTTTCAGGGATAATCATCTCCGTCAAGACACGTTCAGAACGGCAGCTCTTAAGGTTAAAACAGATGAATATTCAGCTGGTCGCCAAAATCCAACACCTTGAATTTAGCTGCTCTGAGAAGGTAAGACCTGGGGACAACATCCACTTGCAGTTCCCACCTCGGCATGGTGCTTCTGCTCCTGGGGAGCCTGGGCCGGGGCCACCCTTCCCTCGCGCGTTCCCATCCTTTCAGATTCGGCTCGGCCACCCCTGCCCTGAGCCACCCGCCTGCTGCTGTCACTGCTGCAGCTTGGGGACCCTCCTGACTCTGGCAGTCGCCTCAGTAGCCTGAATTCCACAAGGAGTGTAGCTCCCATTCGTATCTGTGTCCCTGGGCCTGGGGCTCACTGGCTCTTTGTCACATCCCTACAGAGGCTCAGAAAGTCCCTCTGTCTGCTTTTGCAACAGGAACAAGAAATTGAAAGACTCAACAAGCTCCTGAGGCAGCACGGGCTTCTCGGCGAGGTGAATTAGACTCCCACAGCCCGGCCCCAGAGAGGACCCTGCCTCCCTGGGCTGGCCGTGCCTAAGAGTGACCACCTTGCCGGGTCACGTGGTGAGGGGGCTTGGGTCAGTGCCTCACCCATGGGTCCCACCAGGGCTGTGTTGGACGCAACCACAGGAGGCCGTTCCTCCTTGGTATGATCCAAGAGCTGCCACCCTGCCGCGCACAGCAGCTGGATCAGACTGTTTCCTCATGTTGGACCCTGCACTCTTGGCTTAAATATGACACGCTGGATGATGACTAATTGTATATAAAATTTATTCCCATCTCATGTACAGTTTTCAAATTTCACATGATTATACTGGGACCAGCACATCCTTTCACTCTGAAAGAAAAAGAAAAGCAGCCACCTTAGCCTCCAGCCCACCCGAGAAAGGCCCCTTTTATTCCCACGCTGTTCTAAAGTCTTCTGCTGTCACCACGGGGATGTCATTCCAGGTACCCAGGACCCTCCTCTGCGGTATCGAGCGTTCTGCCACCTGACAGCACCGTTCTCAATGACCTACAATTAACGTATAGAATAACCTCTCCCCTGAGCCGCCTCCCTGCCCTGCCCGCCCCGGGGCCTCCCACGCAGCCCACCAGCTGGAGAGCCAGCTCCCGCAGGGCCTGGTGCAGGGTGGCAATTAGACCCAAGGCTGCCCTGTAATTCACATGATCTCTTAAGAGTCCCTCGTGAGGCTCTGCACCCGACTTGCATGATTTTATACAGTATTTTGCTATTTTTGTACTTAGCTCAATAGGACTTGAAAGAAAACCTAAGCTAGAAACAATGAACATTTTAAAAATAACTCTCATTAAAGCAGGGCTGGATGAACTGGAGAGATCCCCGAGTGGGCTGCTGCAAGGGCTGTTTTTTCCACCGCCCCGGCCCCCAAGACCACTTCCATCTATGACCAACTCTAAATCCAAACCAAGCAGAATGAAACTTCCAGAAGGGGACAAGAAAGCTGGAGGCTGGCCCGGGGCAGCGAGTTGGTGCGGGGGCAACACCAAGGCATGGGAGGCGTGAGGAAGTGGGACGCTTCTGAGGGACTTACGGCCCCACGTGCACTTGTTCCAGAGGAGAAGACCTCAGACCGAGGTGGGGCTCGGTTTCCTCCAGGGACCACTTACGTCAAGCAAATGGGAAGAAGAAGTTAAAGGGCAGCCTGGCGTTGATGGCTGGCCGCGCTCTGAAGCCCGGCTCTGCAGGTGCAGACACAGCCGCAAAAGTAACCACAGTGGAAATGAGAACCGTCCTTTCATTTCCGGCGCTGGTCTGTAATAAAGAGTCAGAAGCAAGACCCCCCTCCAGTGTGTGGCCAGGACAAAACGAGACCTCTTTCCCACGCCATGACTCCTGTCAGTTCATGAAGATGACAGGTTCACTGGGGTCCCTCGGCCACTGCCTCGGCTGACAGGCAGCGTTTACCCTGGCTGTCCTCACCTGACACACCACGATCAACAATCCATTTTCATGATGGTTTTAAAGATTAAATCTAGGGGTTGGGGTTGTGGCTCAAGTGGTAGCACACTCGCCTGGCATGCATGAGGCACTGGGTTCGATCCTCAGCACCACAGAAAAATAAAGATATTGTGTCCACCTTAAAAATAATAATAATTATATATAAAAAAAGATTAAATCTAAACAAGACTGTTAATGTAAATAAAACCTTTGTCAGTGGGTTTCTCCCTCTAAGTAAATAACCACAGCAAAATTGTTTTAACAATCCAGATTGTTTAAAAGCTAATCTCTTTTTACCAACTAATAAATGTTACATGTCATACTTGAATTTTGTCTGGATTTGTCTTAAACTCTCTTCTATTGTGTCCTGCTTTGCAGGGCTGGGCATCACAGCCAGGGCCTCCCGCAGGCTAGGCAAGGGCTCTACCACTGAGCTACACCCCAGACCCAACCTGTACCTTTAAACTCCATCAGGCCTACCTCAGGAAAGGAGGAGGAGATGAGATTTGCAGTTACATTGACTATTCTGGCCTGTGGGTTCAGGAGGGACCCGTACTTAGTCCACTTCACCTCTATAACCAAAGCCACTGGAAGCTGGCAGGAATCCTGAAAAACATAGCTCCATTAATCAATCTGAATATTACACAACTCCAAGTCAAACTTAATCTGCAGTTCAGAGTTTTAATTACAAAATGTCCCACATATTACAAAATGTTCTGAACAAGAGAATGAATAGACTCTAGAACTTCAGATAAAAACAGCTTTGAAGAGCACATATTATTAAAGTACTCCATGCTCCAAAAATAGCGTAACACCTCGCATCACCTCTGCATCCCTGCTGGTTCTGGAGAGGCCGGCAGCACTGGGAGTTGTGGCCATCTTGCTCCTCAGTAGTGGGACATTCAAGGACTTAAGGGCATCTATATCTACCTCAGAATGTGGGAGAGAAACTAGCCAGAGGAGAGGAGGAAGGGGGAGACCATGAAGCTCCATTGCACAGCATGTTAAATGCACCTAGAGGCTACTTGGGAGACTATGACAGGCGGATCAAGAGTTCAAGGCCAGCCTGGGCAATTTAGCGAAGGCCTGTCTCAATAAAAAGGGCTGGGAGAGCTAATAGGTACCAGCCCTGGGGTTGACCCCAGAACAGGGGGTTGGGAAAGGAGAGGAAATGTTAGACTTATTCTTTTTTACTTAACTCTATCATTAGCAATTAAGATGTGACATTGGGTACCCAGGCAGTGGGTGTTGTCAAAGATATTAGCAACACATCTTCTGCACTGAGAGCATGGGGCCACAGCCCAGATGCCCTGGCTGCCTCTGCCCCAGGACCTTTCCTTGGTCAGCCCCAAGAGAAAAAGGGGCAAGTGGGCCTATCAGACCTTTCTCCTGCCTTTAAAGTCTTTTCAGTTGGCAAATCTGATAACTATGGAAGTTGCCTGAGGGGTAGATGGGGATCCCCCTGTTGTGCTATTTTCCTGTGTGTTGGAGATTTTTCCATGATAAAAACATATTTCTAACTGTATCTCTCAGGGTATGGAGAGCTACAAGCCTGCTGAATTTGGTACCTGCTGTAAGTCCTGAATGGAATTCCTTAGCTTGGAATTGTCTTTTAGAAACCCTGCCGTCCTCACTGACATTCTGCTCTGAGGAGATGCTGCAGCGGCCGCCACTGGTGTGAACCAAGCTTGGCAGGGACCCCAGCTCCTTCCACTTGTTTTCCTGCTTAGTGGGTACAAATGTGCCCCAGCCCAGCTGAAGGCTCAGGACCTACACAGCCCCAGGCAGGGCTGCTTCCCCACGCATGGCTGCCTCTGCTCCCAGCCAGGGTCTTCCCGCTGGAGGGGCAGTAATAACTGGGTGTCTAGACCCAGCACCAAGAAGCCAGGAGCGATTTGCAGGGTTCACTAGGCAGCTGAGCTTAGCCAAGGCTGAGCGGCTGAGCAGCTGAGCAGCAGGCACGGAGTGATCCTGGGTCTCTGCTGAGGGAGGGCGGGGTCAGAGCTGTGAGCCTCCTCACCCCATTATGCCCATGCTATAAATATGCAAAGCAGATAATGAGAGGCCTGAAGAAAGCGTGACAAGAAATAGCTGGGCAATTAGGGCAGAAGATGGGGAGCACGCCTCCATGACGCACGGCCCACACTTTGCTAAGACAAAAGAAAATAGTGGGTGGAAGAGTCACATGTGACCAGGAACCTATTTGTAGGATGTCAACTTCCATTAAACTCCTTGGGGAACTTTGGAATTGAAAGCACTCCTGTGGGCTGCCTCTATAAACCAGGGAACATGGATGGGACAGCTGTGAGGACGGAGGAAGGCTGAGACGGTCCCCATTCTGGGGAGGGCACGTGCAGTACCCACAATAATGGTACAGGTCAGTCGTCCCTTATCTAAAATGCTTGAGACCGGAAGTGGCTTTTTTTTGTTTGTTTTTTGTTTTTCAGATTTTGGTATATCTGCATGTACCTGAGTGAGATTTCTTGGCGACAAGGCCCAAGCCCAAATGTGAACTTGTTTCATATACACATAGATAAACTGGAGCTGACTTCCCCCCATCCCTCCCTCCCTCCCTCCCTATCAGTACTTTGCTGGGTTGAACTCTACCCCTGGCCTACACCTCCTTTAAATTGCCTTTTACTTTAAGACAGAGGACTCCATAAACTGCCAAGACTGGCCTAGAACTTGTTCTCCTCCTGTCTCCACCTCCCTAGTCACCGGGATCACAGGCATGTGTTACCATGTCTGGCAATTAGTGTGTAGGCTTTTGACTGTGACCATCACATGAGGCCAGGTGTGGAATTTGCCACTTGCATAGTAACATTGGTATTCAAAATGTTTCAGATTTTGGAGCACTTAGAATTTCTGAGTTTGGGATCAGAGATGCTCCACCTGGAGTAATAAGATGGTGACTGTCAAGGTTTCAGTTTATATAGGGACACTAGGTTCCCTGCCAACGGCCTCATTTAACCCTCTCAACAACCCCATGAGGTCTATACCATGATTCCCATCCCACAGAAGGGGAAATAGGCTCAAGCCCATGAAATTGCTGACTTATCATGACATTGCCAACAAGGGCCAAGCAGTATTCAAGATCCAGGCCAATCTGATAACAGAGCACCCCATCTTCTTCACAAGGATAGCCCCGGCTGCCTGTCACCCCACCCAGAAGTAGAAGAGACTGCAAGGGGCTGGGGCTCAGTGGTAGAGTACTTTTCTGGCATGTGTGAGGCACTGGGTTCAATTCTCAGTACCACATACAAATAAATATATAAATATTTATTTATATATTTTTTATATATATATTTTTTAAAAAAAGGGACTGCAAGCAGACAGACTTCAACTCCTCCCCTTTACCTTCACGTTGGATGACAGGGTGGCGAAGTGGACGGGCACCCAGTCCAGCGCATCCTGGGCCTGGGAATTTCCAAATGGGGCCACATAATCTGGGAAGCCCTGGCCCTTCAGCAGGTCCTTGACCTTCCGTGCCACTAACCGACATGGGAGGGCGCTGGTCAGTCTTTGGGAAGGGAAGGAAAAAGAGGCAACAGTCATCCACCAATTTTTAAAAGCTTCACTTTTTTTTTCTTTATCACTTTTGTTTTCTGTTTCAGGAGTTCCTCTTGTTTTCTTTCTTTCTTTCTTTCTTCTTTTTTTTTTTTTTTTTGTGTGTGTGGTACTGGGAATTGAACCCAAGGCCTTGTGCATGCAAGGCAAGCGCTCTACCAACTGAGCTATATCCCCAGCCCCAAAAGCTTCAATGATACACATCCCTCTCCAGTTTATTTTCTCACTTCCCAGAGGGAGATAATTGGACAGAAGCCAAAGTGTCCCTAACTTTGCAGAATCCTGGCCATGGAGATACTCCAAAACCATGTTTCTCAAATTGTGTTATAATTCTCTATATGGGAAAGGTGCTATGGCCAAAAGTTGAGGACACATTGCCTCCCTATGTTCCCCTGTCCCTTCTGAAGCACACTGGCATATGAAAGCCTCTGAGAAGTCCTATAGGAAAGAATCACAGTTTTAACTATATTATGGTATTTCCCAAACTTACTAAATCATAGACCTATGCCTTCGGACATCTTATAGAATAGTATTCCATGGACCCCCTTTGAGAAATCTAGTCTAATGGGATCAGAACAATGTAAATGGTGAATGGGAGCCTATCCAGAATAATGACAAAATGACCCTGAGGAGATTCGGCAGGTGTGTGGGTGGTGGGGCAGGGGGCAAAGGGAAAAGAGCCAAGCCTCCTCCTTCCGGAGGGAGGATGCAATAAAAAAATTTAGAAAGCCCCCCCCAAAAAATCAATAAATACATTATGTGCAGATTATTTAAAGATCTAGAGGTGGATTCCCAAAAACTCAGCTAGAAGGGTTGAACAGGATTGCATCTGGGATGGAGCAAATGAGGGTAGGAACTGCTGGTTTGGGGCTGGGGTTGCGGCTCAGTGGCCAAGTGCTTGCCTAGCACATGTGAGGCACTGGGTTCGATTCTCAGCACCACATAGAAATAAACAAAATAAAGGTCTATTGACAACTAAAAAATATACATTAAAAAAAAGAACCTCTGGTTTTATAACAAGTTGTACAGAGCTGATTGACATTTCATATGATGTACATATATTTGATAATAAAAAGATAAATTAAAAAGAGATCACATTCAGCCTTCCTTTCACTGTTTTTCTTGTGCTGTACACACTAAAATTCAGAAACATGGGGAGGACTAACGAGAGAACATTTTTGCTCTGAACTCAGGTGCATCTAACCTTGAACATGAAACACACGAAACTTTGCAATTTTTAGTCTGCCATATTTGGTAAGAAAAATGGTTGTGATCATTTTGCTACTATTCATTAATAATGATCATAAACTATGGTGGCTTTCATATGCGCTCATCTGCTGAGGCAGAGGTATGCTTAAAATGGGGAAGAGTGGGAATGTTCTGTTTTCTGATCAACACAAACAAGTTCAAAGAGAAACAGGTCGCTCTCTCACCGTAGCTTGCAACCAGACTGCATGTTGTAGCCAAACAACACTGGGATCCGGGTCCCCTCGACAGCTAAGCAGTCCTGCTCAGCCGAGCTGCGGAGGATCGTGAGTTGTCCATATCTATTTGTTGTCTGAATGATCCCGGACATTCACAGACAGTTAAGGGACAGTCACCTGGTGCTAGAGCAACCTGGTTTCCCGTCAGTCGGAAGATGGTGTCCCTGTGACAAGGGACGTGAGAGAGTTTCCCAAACCCCCTTCTCTAGGCTGCGAGGATGTTGACAGTTATTTCTCAGGAAGGGGTGAAATAGTTATAACTGTGTTCCTCAGGAAA